GCGGGAGTGGGGGGCGGCGTGCGGGGCCCAGCGCTCCCGGCACAACTCAATGGCCTTGTGACGCTGGCCCCCCTTCCCTGGGCTGCCCGGAGCTTCCCGACTTCAGTACCCAGTGGGTCCTCCCCACGTCTCCCCAGCCTCCCACGGGGGCTGTGTGGGAGGGGGGAGTCACGCGGGGCTGACCCTCCTCCCCCAGGAGGTGCCCGTGGCCGGGGCCGACCGCTGGTTCAAGCTGGAGCCTCGCTCCAGCGCCTCCCGGGTGCAGGGGGACTGCCACCTGGTCCTCAAGCTCATCACCACCCAGGTGGGTAGCCCTCGGGAGCGCGGCCCTGACCCCCCGACCGGGCTGAGCCAGGCCCGGTGACCTGCCGGGCTGTGCCGCCTTCCAGAGGGACACGGCCCTGAGCCAGAGCGGGCGGTCCGGCTTCCTGTCGCACCTGCTGCTGCTCAGCCGCGTGCTGCGATTCGAGCACCGAGTGGAGGAGGTACGGGCGCCTGGCACATCCCCGGAGCGGGCGGGGCCGGGGGTGGAGCGCGGCCCGGGCTCTGCTCACCCGCCTCCCCCCCAGCCCGACTCCAGCCGCTGGCGTGGTGAGCTCAGCGCGCCCGCCACCACGGTCCTCTGCCTTCACGGAGCACAGAGCAACCTGTCGCCGCTGCAGCTGGCCGTGCTGTGAGTGGGCAGGGCGGGGCTCCCATGAGTGGGCGGGGCAGGGGTGGGGCTCCCGTGAGTGGCGGGGTGGGGCGGGGCCCTCCGTGAGTGGGGGGGACGGTGCTCTGAGCACAGGCCGCCCCGCCCCCCCTGCCAGGCACTGGCAGGTCAGCAGCCGCCACCATCAAACACGCACTCTAGACTATGGCTACCTCCTGGGGCTGCTGGAGGATTTGCAGGCGCACTGGGAGGAGGCGGCCTCCCTGCCCCAGGAGCAGGTGGGTGCCCTGACCAAGGGGGGGGTGAGGTTACGGGGGACAGGGTGCTGCTTGACAGGGAAACAGGTCGACCTCTGCAGTGGGGGGGTGGTTGTGTCAGTCACCCCGAGAAGATGCCACGGACATGTGTCCAAGGCCACTTGAGGCAGCGAGCATGGGGGGACAGGTGTGGGCACTGGCGGGCGGGGCAGGGGGCAGCAGGTGCAAAGGCCCGGGGCTTACAGCCACCAAAGGATGGCCCGCGGAGGTGTGGTTCTTCAGGACAGAACAGGCCGGTGGGGGGGCGGGCGGGGAGTTGCAGGGGGAGGCAGTGCTGGAGCTTCTCAGCGGGGCTCTGAAGAGCACTGTTTCCCAGGAGGAGAGCCTGGCCGACAGCTTCTCTGCCTTCTCGGAGTTCGGGCTTCGGCTGCTGCGCCAGCTCCGGGACTACTTCCCTGCCACCAACAGCACGGCGGTGTACCGCCTGGAGCTGCTGCTGAAGTGAGGGGGGGACGTGGCGTGGCGTGGCGGGGCAGGG